TGTATTAGCCTTTTTAATAGCTTACTGCATTAAACGCTAGCTACAACGCTGTATCAGTATGAACAGTGCAGTGAAGAACCCTCTGAAGATCATCGAGTTTTTTGGATTTCGACACTGCATGGATAGTGTTGTAAATACTTTGGGCGAGGGGGATGTGCAAGTTCTTTCTCTGGGCGCGCTGCGAGAGATGCGGTTTTGAGCGTGATGCATGGACATGTTATTGGATGAACAACGTTCGGCTTGGCCACTTTTCACCAGGCCCACAATCCAGTTCGCCTCGCGCTGTGCAAGCTACGCTCGCCAAGAAGGCCGCCGCCGAGCGAGTGAAGGAGTGTCCTAGGCACCAAGTCGCCGGAAGCTTTGCAAGTGATCGAGCGCAATACGACCTATGCAGCCCAACAATAACAGCGAGCTCCAAGACATCGCCGTCGCAGACCCGTCGTCGTCCGCGCCCTCGTCTGCTAGCGCTGGGCTCTCTTCCTGGCCTGAGCTCAAACAGCTCAACGCTGCTGTGACCATCACACCACTGGACAGCGACGCTCAGCTGCGCAATCGCAAGCGCCAGCGACCGTCGGCTCCATCGTCTCCATCCGCGTCCTTCTCCACTCCGGGGGACTTAAAGCTCGACTTCGCCGGCTTCGAGGTCGGCAACAACGCCCCGTCCACTATCGTGTCCTCGGCCTCACTGTCGCTAGCAACCACCTCGTCGGCCGTGACCTATCCGGCCGCCTCGAACGGGTACTTCACCCCGAACAGCTACCCGCCTGCCGTCTCCACGGACGACGTACTTACCTTCCTCAAGAACCTGCAACTCGCGCAGGACCAGGCGGCGTTGGCGCTGGCCACGCAGCGACTCGCTCAGGACGGATTCGACTCGGTGCTAGCCTTAGCTTTCGCGGTCGTGAGTGAACTGCAGCACGCCGGTATCGCTGACGCCCAGCTCGTGTGGCAACAGGCGCACCGTGACTTCCAAGCCCGGCGGTTCCAGGTCCCCGGCGTGTTGTCTCCCAACTACACGGTATCGCGATGGATGGAGCTTTGCGGGATCCCGAAGGTCAACATCTTCGAGTACACTGAGTACCTGTGCCGTCTGGGCTACTCGGCGGTGCGGGATCTCGAGTTCATCCTGCACGACCAACGTGCTCTTGCCGTCTTCAAGATCGGCCACGGCCGCCTCATAGCGCACTGTATCCAGTCGGCCATCAACCGACACCATTTGCAAGCAGCCAGCTACCAGTACGGCACCCACGGCCCCGACGTGTACACTGCCGGATCGTCGAGCGCACTGCTTCAACCGCTGGACATCCAGCGCGAGAACGAGTTCGACGTGCAGGCCTACGACAGCTTCTTGGAGGCGCTGATCGAGCCGACGGACGCTGAGAAGTTGCAGCAACGATACTCGGCGCCGGGT